CGCTGGTAGTGTGGTGTGTGTGTGTGTGTAGCGCTGGTAGTGTGGTGTGGAATGTGGTGTGTAGCGCTGGTAGTGTGGTGTGTGTGTGTGTAGCGCTGGTAGTGTGGTGTGTGTGTGTGTAGCGCTGGTAGTGTGGAATGTGGTGTGTAGCGCTGGTAGTGTGGAATGTGGTGTGTAGCGCTGGCAACGTGATAATTAAGGGGTGAAGATGTGATATATAAGAATGTAAGAACTCTTGTATATATAAATAAATAACATATATGGATATGAAATAAAACAATCCCATACGCCTATTTATCTCATAGTCCTGAAGCACACATTGGCAGAATAACGTTAGCAGCTGAGTTTCTTTCTTCAAATTCAGTAAAAAAAATGCATTCTCGACAAAATTTGTACCACTACCAGCTAGACATAACTTTCATATGTTGGTAACATTTGTTTTCCGTTCTCAAGTCCCTCTACTATTTTTAAATAACAAATTATCCCAAGTCAAATGGGATAATTAATGGTGGCGTCATCGACCCCATTCTTCTAGTCACAGATGGAGACTCGCACCGCTGCCATCGATTTTCACACTAGACTAGCCTAGCTTGTGGGATTGTGAGTGACCCTCGATACACTCCGTTCCTTCGCTTTGCACCTCCGTAAAAATATAACTGTTGCGCCTCAACAGGAACGTATGAGACCAAGCAACCTACCGAACCTGTCAAGATTGATTATAATAAAACGTTAATTTTATGGTTCTTAAATTTTACTGAAATATCGCACTTTTAACGGACTGGCAGATCCCATAAAAATGCAACGTGTTAGGTTGATAATATCTTGAAAGAAGGACACTAAAAGCGTACAGTGTTAACATTCTTGTAAAGCCACTAGTACGCGCAGCGTTTCGGGCAGGTCCTTAATCTAACATATAATTTTAAGTAGGTAAATTCAAGCAAAATTTAAAAGTGATAACAGGTAGATTGCAAGATAAAAATGAGACGAGAGAGATTAGTAGGTATATTAGAACACATCGGTAGCTCTGATTCTTGCACCGGTGATGTTCATTGTCTACATAAATGATCTACCAGTTAGTTGGTTTACAGAATTATATGAACATGTTTGCTGATGATGCTAAGATAATAGGAAGGATAAGAAACTTAGATGATTGTCATGCCCTTCAAGAAGACCTAGACAAAATAAGTATATGAAGCACCACTTGGCAAATGGAATTTAATGTAAATAAATGCCATGTTATGGAATGTGGAATAGGAGAACATAGACCTCACACAACCTATAAATTATGTGAAAAATCTTTAAAGAATTCTGATAAAGAGATCTAGGGGTGGTTCTAGATAGAAAACTATCACCTGAGGACCACATAAAGAATATTGTGCGAGGAGCCTATGCCACGCTTTCTAACTTCAGAATTGCTTTTAAATACATGGATGGCGAAATACTAAAGAAACTGTTCACGACTTTTGTTAGGCCAAAGCTAGAATATGCAGCTGTTGTATGGTGCCCATATCTTAAGAAGCACATCAACAAACTGGAAAAGTTGCAAAGATATGCTACTAAGTGGCTCCCAGAATTGAAGGGCAAGAACTACGAGGAGAGGTTAGAGGCATTAAATATGCAAAAACTAGAAGACAGAAGAAAAAGAGGTGATATGATCACTACGTACAAAATAGTAACAGGAATTGATAAAATCGATAGGGAAGATGTCCTGAGACCTGGAACTTCAAGATCAAGAGGTCATAGATTTAAACTAATTAAACAAAGACGCCGAAGAAATATTAGGAAATTCACTTTCGCAAACAGAGTGGTAGATGGTTGGAACAAGTTAGGGGAGAAGGTGGTGGAGGCCAAAACCGTCAGTAGTTTCAAAGCGTTATATGACAAAGAGTGCTGGGTAGCCGGGACACCACGAGCGTAGCTCTCATCTTGTAACTACACTTAGGTAATTACACACACACACACACACACACGAATCTGTACACCAGTTGATCGACAGTTGAGAGGCGGGACCAAAAAGCCAAAGACCAACCCCCGCAAGCACAAATAGGTGAGTACACACTCACACACACAAAGATGGCCGGTGTATCAAGAAAAGAACTAAAGTGGGAGAAGGAATACCTTTCACGAAGAAGGCAGTCAGAATGGAGAGGGGTAACGCAACTTGTCCTCTCGCAAAGAAAACAGCTTTTCGCTGGTATGTGTTACTTAAGGCAAAAATTTGTCGTACAAGAAAATGTAGGCGGCTCGTGAAAGTGACGTTTCGGGTCCTCTGGTAGGTTGGGCGAGGACACTTTAAATTGACCGTTTTCTTGACGTTGGGAACCTCAGGAGGACGGGCTGGGTAACGAGCGGAGTATCTCAAGGCTCGGTTCTAAAGCCCATCTAGCCAAACACACGACGAAACCACGACGTTACTACAACGTTCGAACACGTATTAACACCTATAACAGTTTGCCATTCACCTGGACTGTATGGGTCTCGAACCACGGACCTCACGCGTGATGCCATAGCACTATCAATTAGGCTATGAACAGTCTTTAAAAGGAAAAATATTTACAACTCGTAACAACCAATATACAAAGTTTTAAGAACGTTATAATGCATCATTAAAACGTTATAAAAAGATGTAACAACTTTATTACAAGTTGTAACAAGCGGAAAATATGGACAGTTATGGTGTGTTTGCAGGGATCCGATTCCTAATATGTGTAAACGACCTAACAGGAAGTAAGCTCATTCTTATCCATGTTAATGAGTCAAATGAGTCAAATTAGAACTGAGAAAGACCAATATATTACAAGATAACCTAGACAATCTCCAGAGATGGTGTGAGAAATGACTATTAGAATATAACCCTGACAAATGCAAGGTTATGAGGATAGCAGATGGAGCAAGAAGACCCCAAATACAGTGCAGGATGAAGGGAAGGCACCTTCCAACTTCTGAAAAAGAGAAATACCTTAGAGTGGACATAACTCGAGATCTAACACCTGAGGCACACATCAGCAGAATAAGGAGTGCAGCATACGCCATCCTGGCAGACGTCAGGTTATCCTTCGGGAACTTGGACAAGATCCCTTCCAAGAACTGTATATATATATATATATATATATATCCTGAGACCTATTATCAAGTATCCTGCCAATGCATGGAACCCCTACCTTAAGAAGATAGGGGTACGACGTACAAGATACTAAGGGGGATTGACAAAGTAGATAGAGAACCAATGTTCAAATTAAGGAACAGAAGAATGAGAGGACATAATTGGAAACGCAGATGAGTCACAGTGATGTCAGAAAGAACTTTAACGGAACGGGCTAGATGAGGATATTATCGAAGCCGATTCGATATAGTTTTAAATGTAAACATGATAAGAAAAGCAAATGAAAGAAGTCAAGGCATTAAACCAATGATAGTCGAAAGGCTGGGCTTAAGAGCAGATGCTCGACCCTGCAAGCTCAACTAGGCGAGTACACACACACACTCACACTACCCGTGGTCATTCCTCTTACACCGCCGGAAAAAAACGTCCTCAACACAGCTCAACGCCTCTTATACCGGTAAACCATAATGTCTTCAACACAAACACGACCTGAGGTCATTGTTCCTTACATCGTCTTCTGCGACGTCGTCATCCCTCAGTCTCTTCTTGTTACTATTTGTGTTGTTTCTGCGGGGGGTCTCAAAGGAGGTCCTGTTCTAGCTCGACCCCTCGCCTATCCTCAGCTGGTCTCCTCCTCCTCCACCTGCTCCTCAGCTGGTCTCCACCTCCTCCACCTGCTCCGCAGCTGGTCTCCACCTCCGCCTGTTCCTCTGCTGGTCTCCACCTGCTCCTCAGCTGGTCTCCACCTCCGCCTGTTCCTCTGCTGGTCTCCACCTGCTCCTCAGCTGGTCTCCACCTGCCCTTCTGCTGGTCTCCACCTGCCCTTCTGCTGGTCTCCACCTTCCCTTCAGCTGGTCTCCACCTGCTCCTCAGCTGGTCTCCGTCTGCTCCTCAGCTGGTCTCCGCCTGCTCCTCAGCTGGTCTCCACCTGCTCCTCAGCTGGTCTCCACCTGCTCCTCAGCTGGTCTCCACCTGCTCCTCAGCTGGTCTCCACCTGCTCCTCAGCTGGTCTCCGCCTGCTCCTCAGCTGGTCTCCGCCTGCTCCTCAGCTGGTCTCCGCCTGCTCCTCAGCTGGTCTCCGCCTGCTCCTCAGCTGGTTTCCGCCTGCTCCTCAGCTGGTCTCCGCCTGCTCCTCAGCTGGTCTCCGCCTGCTCCTCAGCTGGTCTCCGCCTGCTCCTCAGCTGGTCTCCGCCTGCTCCTCAGCTGGTCTCCGCCTGCTCCTCAGCTGGTCTCCGCCTGCTCCTCAGCTGGTCTCCGCCTGCTCCTCAGCTGGTCTCCGCCTGCTCCTCAGCTGGTCTCCGCCTGCTCCTCAGCTGGTCTCCGCCTGCTCCTCAGCTGGTCTCCGCCTGCTCCTCAGCTGGTCTCCGCCTGCTCCTCAGCTGGTCTCCGCCTGCTCCTCAGCTGGTCTCCGCCTGCTCCTCAGCTGGTCTCTGCCTGCTCCTCAGCTGGTCTCCACCTGCTCCTCAGCTGGTCTCCACCTGCCCTGCAGCTGTTATCGTTTAGAGTAGAGTTTAGATTCTCTTCCGTGTTAATTGTGGCCACATGGTTATAATTCACACACACTGGCTTACCTGTTTGTCAGACACCTCATCACGACTCACGCACACATACACGCAAGCGCACATCCACCTACATGCGTGTGCACATAATAATTACATAACAATTAATTAAATTATATAGCAGAATATAACACTAAATATTCCCTGGATTATTTTATATTAAGGTTCGCCGGTCATTCCTTATAGCAGGGACAGACGTCAGCACAGCCTTGTTCACTACTCAGTGTGTGTGAAGCATTCACCGATCTAAAGCAAATGTATTTCACTTAAAATGTCTTCGTTTATAATAAAGATCTTTGTAACAAGTTTCATCAGTGTACTACCTAAAATCGTCTCACCTCTTGTGGCGGAAGGCCCAGCTTGATGAAAGGAATGTTGCTGGTAGTGGTGGTGCTTGTGGTGGTGGTACAGCTACTGCTGGTGCTTGTGGTGGTGGCACAGAGGCAGGGAAGCCACGTACCTCGCCAAAAGTGGGAGGCGTAAAGAGAGTTAGGAAGTATGCAAGCAGACTCCTCTTCTACCTGCTGAGCTACTGCCAGCCCTCCTGGCTCCTGCTGCTCTATGATACACCCTTAACCCTGATCTTCCTAAGTCACTTTCCCTCCAGGGTTCGAGCTAAGCCAACACTAGTCATTTCGATCGTTCTGCGAATTAAGTTCTGACATTTTTATAAATTTATGTAGAGCCTACCACTTACGAAGTGGTACTTCATTCTCTGTACACTTCTACATGTTATTTCGCTTCAGTGAAAGTTATACGCCGGTGTATAACGATATGTTATGAGTTCACTGTACACTTACACAGTAAACTGACAGTTTTAGACGGTGTTCGGCTTTAATAATATTTCAGAGCACCAGTGTGTCCTGAATCACTGCACACTTGCTACTGGACATACGTGGCCGATACCATCACCATGTATTGCCATTACAGGACATTTTTTCATACTATTCGTTCACATTTCACCAAACCAGACCTATTTCATAACCCGGATAAAATGCGATCCACTCAAGCTGCAGTCGCCGGTAAGAATATATTATTGAAAGATTATTCTTATGTTACTTTAATACACAGCTTATAAACGTTAGGAGACCTTAAATTAATAACGACGTACGAAACAAATAGGTAATGCCCGAGAAACGCGGTTTGTTGATTATCCTCAGTCCTCACTATGCCAACCAGCTCCCGTCGCTGCCTGACGAACGATTCTGTTTACGCTGCCGCTCACGTCAATGAAAAGTTGTTCAGAGCACTTCCAAAGCTTTTCAACCACTTTTATGGAATATAAATATACCATATGCTTAAAGCTTAATTTTTTGTCTTTACTCCCCTAATGCAAATTGCCATACTGTTCATGCAAATACATATTTAGTGGAGGATTTACCGGGCGTCAATCCTTAACTGTAGCCTCTGTTTACTCAACAGGAAAATGGGTACCTGGTTATTAAACGATTTGGCGAGGTCGTATTCCGGGGAACATAGGATTAAGGACTTGCCCGACACGCTACACGTTCTAGTGGCTGTACAAGAATGTAAAAACTCTTGTATACTAATAATAATAATAATAATAATAATAATAATAATAATAATAATAATAATAATAATAATGGTGTCTATTTAATCTTGTTTAAATTACCAATCAAGCTGTCAATGTAATCAATCAGAGCTTTAATATACCAATGTGCTTTAATATACTTACTAATCTCTCTCAACTCATTTTTTTCTTGCAATGTATCTGTTATCATTTTATTAATTCTGCTAGAATTTACCTACTTAAAATTATCTGTTAGATTAGGGACCTGCCCGAAACACTGCGCGTACTAGTGACTTTACAAGAATGTAAATACTATGCTATGTATTCTCACAAACCCAATGTACCTTCTTTTATATAAATAAATAAATAAATAAATAAATAAATAAATAAATAAATAAATAAATAAATAAATAAATAAATAAATAAATAAGAATTGCTCTACAAATCAAGGGACCCAGAATGTAGAATGACCTTCCCAATCATGTCAAAGATTGTACCTCTCTCAACCAGTTTAAGATGAAAACTAAGTACTACCTAATTAACTCCATGTAACCTACCTTACTTCTAAATGTCAACCCATGTCTTACTATTTAAAAAAAATGCTGTTTGTTGACCAACTTGTATATTGGCTATATTCTACCCATTTTTTTTTATCTTTTATTATTTTTGTTCATTCAACACAATTTATACTTTAAGCTCAATTACTATTAAGTTTTAGTCTAAGTGTTTTTCCCCACCTCTCCTTGCCTGACACGCTATGCGTACTAGTGGCTTTAGGTATTGTATGTACTACCTCTATCTTGAAATCCAACAGAATGTTTGTACTGTAACTCTGCAACTATGCATGTACTGTTACTAAATAAATAATAATAATAATAATAATAATAATAATAATAATAATAATAATAATAATAATAATAATAATAATAATAATAATAATAATAATAATAATAATAATAATAATAATAATAATAATTTGCATGCATGGGGGCCTAACGGCTGAGTGGACAGCACTCAGGGTTCGTAGTCCTATGGGTCCGGGTTCGATCCCCGGTGTAGGCGGAAACAAATGGGCAGAGTTACTTTCACCCTGAGTTCACTGTTCACCTAGCAATAAATAGGTACCTGGGAGTTAGACAGCTGCCTGGGGATGTGTGTGTGTGAAAATTAGGATTAAAATTAAGAACTTGCCCGAAACGCTATGCGTGCTAGTGGCTGTACAGGAATGTAAGAATTCTTATATATATATATATATATATATATATATATATATATATATATATATATATATATATATATATATTATACATATACATATATATATATACATATATATATATATATATATATATATATATATATATATATATATATATATATATATATATATATATAAAATGCTCGGACGGGAATAAAATCGGGCATAATAACCCAGTGTGGGACAGAAATGGTTGGGCACTTTCCCTTTCACCTTATGACTCTGTTCACCTAGCAGTAAGTAGGCACCTAGGAGTTCTAGTCAGCTTGTTGTGGGGTTGTATTCCTGGGCGGGGTCAGTAATTCGACCTTAGGGGGGGGGGGGACCTCGATATAAGTCTAACGTGTATGAATACACTCTGGCTTTCTGTCCCCCGACACAATGAATTATTATTAAATTATAATATATGAAAGTTTAGTTTAGGTAATTTATTATGCACTTCATACCCAGTATGTTGGCGGTGGTGGAAAGGATTACAGAGGCACACAATGGGCTCAGGGACTGATCTCCAAAATTTATTTAGCTAAGTAAGTTACAGTTTTGATGAGCTAGTTACAAAATTCATCGTCACGTCAACAATGGGCTCGATTTAAGACGATTTAAAAATCACTTCCATTCATTGATTTATATTTGAATATATATTGTTACAAATATACAATATACATATAATATTATAAATATATAGATATATACAACAAAACAAGGCAATATGGGAGTAAATAAACAAATTTGTGGCCACTGTAACAACTCCTTAAAGACGAAGGTAACGGGAATTGAATGTTATATCTGTAAGACTAGATTCCATTCGGGTTGTACAGGAGTGAGTAACACTACGGCACTGAGAGCTGGCCACTTGCTCTGGGTGTGTAAAAATGACCTGCCAGCTTGGAATATCCTAAAAAACCTTCTAGATAACATGACGCATGATCGGAAAACATCATTCATTGGAAGCCTACCAGCCATCCAGAAGGAGTGGGAAAGGAACAACAATTCTAATATACAAGGGGCGGAGGCTATAGTCAGGGATGAAACTGAGGCTGAAACTCAGGAAGTTGTAAACTCTGACTCAGTAGGCCAGGATGTAGATGACAGTAAACTAGTAAGTGTACCAGACAGCACTGACAGCTCGATAGGTACAGACACCACGACGGTTCTCGATAGAGCAATTCAGAACAGAAGGACAGACTTATGCAAATTTTATGCAAAGGGCATATGCAGACATAGATATGCTGGTAATAAGAAAGGATTAGAATGCAGTTACCAACATCCCAAAAAATGTTTAAATATGCTTAGGAAAGGTGAGTGTCGATTTGGATCAATATGTAGGTTTTTCCATCCTGACATGTGCCAAACCTCACTGGAGGACAGAAAATGCTATGACCTTAGCTGCCCACACTTTCACGTGAAAGGCACGGAACGCTACATAAAGAGTGGCAAGCAGGATAATGAATTTGGAGGAAACTCTATAATTTTTTTATACCAGACCGGCAGAGAATTCAAAAGGAGCAGCATGGAGAGTGTATGGAACTGGATGCCAGATCCACTTGCATTCCAGAATTACAGATACAATTACCCACCGAAAGGGAACTACAACTACGACAGAAAACTGCCCTACAACAATCAGTACTGGTCAGAACAAACTCATTATGTCCACGATTAATGGACTTGCCGAAAAAGTCTCCCATTCAAACTATCACTAATAGAGTAACCTCATTCATCTTTGCCAACATACAAGGACTGAAAACAAGAACAAACAACAAAGTACAGTTCATAAATGGCCTCCTCACGGAGTCAAATGCAGTATTTGGAGCTTTCACAGAAACCCATGCAGGGGAATTGTTGGACAGTGAGATCTGGATTCCAGGATATAACCTATACAGGTGTGATAGGAAAATTAGGTCACATGGAGGAGTGGGTCTGTATATTAGGGAAGACCTTGTATGCTCGGAGCTCCTAAACGTTACAAATGAGGTGGTAGAGGTACTGGGATTAAAAATAGAGAAAATAAATTTAGTGATTATACTAATATACAAACCGCCAGATGCAACGGCTGAGGAATTCACAGAACAGATAAGCAAAATAGAGAATAGCCTTGATAATTTGGAGAACCCGATACCTGATATTATCTTCCTAGGTGACTTCAACTTGCCTAGTCTCAGGTGGAAAATAGCAAACAATAATATTATACCAGGAAATCTATCAGGACCTAACCAACCACAGATTAGAGAACTACTTAGATTCTGTGACAAATTTTCACTCAATCAGCAGATATCGGAGCCAACGAGAAATGAAAATATTCTAGATCTGGTCTTTACGAACAATGAAGACATTATCAGAGACATTACGATATCAGATACCACATACTCAGATCACAAACTCATTGAAGTGCAAACTACCATCAATACTCAGAATAGACCTAAAACGTTGATAAAGCGAGAGGGGCTATTCAGTAAATTCAATTTTAATAATAAAAGGATAGACTGGGAGATAATAAACAGGGAACTTACAAACATTCCATGGGGAACTGTTCTAAATAATACAAGTCCTACAGAAGGAATAGAAAAACTGACTTCAGAAGCGTATCAAGTCTGTCTGAAACATGTTCCTTTGAGGAAAGCCAGAAAGAAATCTAACGTAGAAAGAGAACGCAGACGACACTATAAACGCAGGAAAAAATATCGGAACTGCTTATGCAGACACGAATTTCCCGTCAAAGAAGGAATAATTTAAATAGGGAGATTGAAGAAATCGAGCGGAAATTGAAACACTCATATGAAACTGAAGAAAGGCAGTTAGAACAGAAAGCAATTCAGGAAATAAAGAAAAATCCAAAATATTTCTTCTCATATGCGAAATCAAAAGCAAAAACCACTGCCAGTATTGGACCTATTCGTACAAGTGAAGGTTCATACACGGAGGATGACAAAGAAATTAGTGAAATCCTAAAAAAGCAGTATGAGGACATGTTTAGCACTCCAATAAACAACATGAAGGTGGAAGATCCAGACAATTTCTTTATGCGGGATATTCAAACCCCTGTAAATATAACTGATATAAACACGAGCGCACTAAATTTTGAAAAAGAAATTGAA